TGATACAAGAAATACATATTTGGTTTTCAACTGCTTTCTGGTACTGAGCTCCTAAAACTTGGAATTTCCTAAGTAATGAGATGGATAAAGATGTCTTTTGTTACACTAATGAGGTGAGTTTTGGAAAGTGCCTAAGGGTGGGGTTGGTTGTCAGGGTTGCCAACCTAGGGATTCGAGGGCTGGAACTTTCAGTCCCACCCTTGCACCTCCAGGGAGCAGAGAGAGGCTTGCAGTAGAATCAATCACCAGTGGTCAATGGTTTATTCAGTTATACCTATATAATGAAACCTCCATAGAAACCCTGTAAGGAGGGGTTTCAAAGAGTTTCTGGGTTGGTGAACATGGGTAGATTCAGGGAGAGGGATGTGCTCAGAGGGCGTGGAAGGGCTTTATCCTCACCCTATTCCTTGCCCTGTGCATCTCTTCCAGCTATCTGTTCCTGAGTCATATCTTTTTATAGGAAACATGTACTCTAGTAAGTAAAATGTTTCTCTGAGTTTTGTGAGCCACTTTGTGTGAGCAATTTAATCAAACCCAAGGCAGAGGTTGTTGGAACCTCCAGTTTATATGAGGTCTGTCCAGAAAGTACCCATCCATGTCCTCTGAAAAACAGAGACATTTATTGAAGAAGAAGAAGATACCCAATACAGGATTCATTGTACATAGGACAATGACACCTCAGTCCCTTTCAAAGTAGGCATCTTGGGGCCTCATAGTTCTCCCAATCACCATCAGCTGCCCTGTTTTATTTTATTGAATCTCATAGAAGGTCTGAAATCTCTTCCCTTTCAAAGGTGATTTTAGTTTGGGGAAAAACCAGAAGTCACAGGGCACCAAATCTGGGCTGTAGGGGAGCTAAGTCACCTGGGAAATTTGATGTTTCACTGAAAAACTCTGCAGGAGACATAATGCATGGGTGGGTGCGTTAACATGATGAAGCTGCCAATCACCAGTTGCCCATAGCTGTGGCCTTCTGAATCATCCAAATAATTTCTGCAGAGGAATGTTCAAGCTTAATACGAAATTTGATGCAAATTCATTGCTCTACTCACTCAGTCGTTTTGAATGCGACAGCCACACAATACATATTGTCACTCAACAGCATCTACCACCCCCACTGACTAGTACAGTGAAGTTGTCCTTGTTCACACATGTGCATTCCAGTCCACTGTCTTTGGTTGCCAGGTTACACTATTGTTGTTCAAACCAGTCTCGTTATATTAACAATGATTAGACTTTTTCTGGACAGACCTTGTATACCAAGTCAGTCAGATGCACATGTGATAACTTGGACTTGTGCCTGCTTTCTGAAGTGTGTTGTGTGTAGTGGGGGTAGTCTTGTAGGAGTGGGTACTTAATCTGTGGAACCTGATACTATCTCTGGTTAGATAGTGTTAGAGCTGAGTTGAATTATAGGACATCCAGCTGGTTTCTGAGAATTACTTGGTGTGGAGAACCCCCCACCCTGTCCCCCAACACACATTCCACCCATGTTGGAACTGATACTCGAATCTTAAATTGAATTAGAGAACTTCAAGGTCCATTCTAGCTTAAAAGTATTCATAATTGAAGATCCTGAGGGTAACAATTGCATCTCACATTTGTGAATCAGGTATGGTTAATGAAGTGTTTTCTCCAGTGTTAACTTACTTGCTCTCCTGTGAGAACAAGAGTTATCATTTACTGTGCCTTCCATGGAGACTTGAACAGGTGCTGAGAAAAAATTGTCTGGAGAAATACACTAATTTTTAACCTGAATTCCATAACTATTCTGATAGCTGTGTAGTGATGTCTCATTGTGATTTTCATTAGCATTTTCCTGATGACTAATGATATTAAACACCATTGCAAGTGCTTATTTGCCATCTGCTAACCTCTTCAGTGAACAGCTCCATGTTTTTTGCCATTTTCTAAATGGGATTGTTTATTTTTTTACTGGTGAGTTTGAGAGTTCTTTATAGATATTATCCCTTTGCTGGATATATGGTTTGCAAATATTTTCTCCTAGTCTGTAGCTTGTCTTTTCATATTCTGAAAAGGATCCGTGACATAGCAAACGGTATTAATTTTGATGAAGTCTGGTTTATTTGTTTTTCCTTTTATGGATTATTTCTCACTTGGGTTATTGCAATAGGCCCCCTGTTCTCTCTGCTTCTTCCCTTGCCTCTCAATAGCCTTTTCTCAACAAAACACTGAGAGGGATTTTTATGTAAAATGCAGTTTTTCACTCAAAAGTCTCCAAGCTTTCCATGCCAATCAGAGTAAAAGCAAAAGTCTTGACAACAGCCTATGTGGTCCCTCATGATCTCTGTGACCTCCTCTCTCCTTGGCTTGGCTTTGGCCATATTGGCTTCCTTCATGATATTCAGACAGGCCAAGCAACCCCCGATCCAGGACTCCAGCCTCTTCATTTTGCCTGGAAAATGGACCCTTAGCTCTAAGCTCCCTTATTGCCCTCAGGTCTTACTGACACAGGATCTTTTTAGTGAAGACTACCATGACCTCCCATTTAACATAGAAATGGCCCCATTTCCTATAACCTCAAATTCAGGTTCTTGCTTTATTTTTCTGCATGGTACTTGTCAATATCTAACCTACTATATATGTCACTTATTTTTAAAAATGGTCTATTTTCTCCCCTAGAATTAAGCTCCTTGAGAGAAAATATTTTTATCTGTTTTGTTTATAAATGTTCAACTATGGGGTCTAGAGAGCCTGGCACATAGTAGGGACTCAATAAATATTTACAGAATGAAGAATGAATGAAACAGTGAAAGAATGATGATATGAGTTCCAACCTAGCTTGCACTTGAGCTTAAGGAACCTGAGCCGGTGCCACTGGAATCGTCTTTCCTTTTCTAAAGGCAGGTTCATTTCTTTGGGGAATTCAGAGTCTAAGAAAGGTGCCTTAAGGATCATTTGTCTTGGAATTATGGAATTAGAATTTCTAGTGTAATTTCAACTTCTATGGAGGTAGTGGTCAGTAATGATTGCTAATGCTATTTGTTGAAAGGCTGATGGGAACATTATAGTGGAGGGACAAAACCAATCAACTCCAAACTGGAATATTTTACCGGGTAAACAATTTAGTTTCTTCAACAAATAAATGGCAATAAACAAGATGAAGAGGGTGGAGTACTGTTTTAGGCCTAAAGATACATTGACCAGTTGTAACATATGGACCTTGTTTGGGTCTTGAAATCAATGAACCCAGTATAAAAAGGACATTTTAACACAGTTGGAGGAAATTGGGTATGGCTCGGTCATTAAGTATTATGAAGAAATTATGGCTAAATCTGTTGAGTGAGATGATATTGCTGTTACGTTAAAAAAGCTTTTGTCTGTGGAAGATAACTACTGCTGCATTTAAAGAGAAATGATATAATGTCTGAGATTTGCTTCAAAGTCCTGCCCTTCAAAACGCCTAAACTAAAATCAATGAACAAAAACCTAAGTGTGTGTGCAAGTCTGTGTGTGTTTGTGTGTGTACAGAACAAGAATGACACAATGTCAATAATTGTTAAAAATTGGGCAATGGGTTCATTAAATTGTGTTCCCATTATGTAATTCTCTTTCTTTACTTTGTGTTTGAAAATTTCTGCCACAAAAGGGTTTAAAAAATCTTCTTGGCCCCTTCTTTTCCTGGGATTCTCCAAGAAACAGGAAGGTTAATCTCATTGCCAAATCCTCACAAGGCTGCATTTGCCCTATCTTTACTTTCCTGGTGCCTAAGACTTCAAGACATTCTGTGGTGCCCTTTCTAATTTGGACCCACCCCAGTCCACTGGGTATTTCTAATGTTAGCAGTGACTTCTGGGAGTTTACCTCATCCCTGTACACCAGTCCTCCCATTGCATCATGGCCACTGCCTCAAAATGAGGTGTCTCTAACTTTAGATTGGAAGCAGGAGGATCCAGATGGTTCACCACTTATAACTGGTATAAATTTCAGCCCACAAGCTGAGGTGTGCAAGAAACAGCATGAAAATTTTTTATAACTCCATTTGGTTTGTACTTTAAGCCTTGATTCCGCAGGTGTCCAGTTTGGAATTCCACCCATTCCTGTCTGGAAGTCACAGAGGGCCCCGGTCTGGACGGCGGGGGTGAGGCATGGTCACTGTTCACTGGAGAACACCATTGTAGTTTTGATGCCCATCACCTTGGCTGCCATGCCTCCTCTCGACTGGGTGGTCTCCTTGCCATGGGTGGGATAGGTTACCAAGATTCTGCTTGCATGCACAATACAGCCATGTCCTCTTAGAGATTTTGCCACATCTACCTCCCCAGCCACATTTGAAAAGCCTCTTCTCCATGACCTTCACACATTTCTCTCTGACTTAATTAGCACCTCTCAGCCCTAGTAGGGTAAGGAGGGAATAGCTAATGTCAAAAATCTTGCTTCTGTTCTGTTTCTGCTCAAGCATCCTTTCTTTCTACGGAGTTTGGGATTTTAGAAGCAAAGACAAAGATTATCAGCATGCTATTACTGGCCATGCCCCTCCGCTGGCCGACAAACACAGCCTGTTACCCACTTGAATGCAGAAGGGAGAGGGTGAAATAAATGGAGACAAAAAAAAAATGACACAGGAACAGATTAACGTCTCAAAATATCCTGCCACATTTGAAAGATGCAACAGTTGAATTCATGGAAGAGGTTCCACTGGGAAAAAAGGAATTGTTCTTGAAAAGGGGGTGTGTGCAGTGGCAGAGACTGTTGGGCCTCGGCCCACAGAATGCTTTGATGTCATCACTTAGGTCACAGAGTTCTGCTGCAGGCCCAGCAGCCTTTGAACCTCAACAGCTCTGTGTCGTGGTGAGCCCTGGGCTACGCTGTGCGTTCTCTGAAGGGTCTGAGGTCTTCAGTCCTTTAGGAGACTCAATGATTTTTATTTGTACTGAATCTTTTCAATGGACTTCCTGAGAGCCAAGAAGGGCCAACATGTAGGAAGAAGGAGGAGCCGGATGTTGGGCATCTTATAAGGGACTCTTCTAGTTGGTACTATGAAAAGGCAACAAAAGAGGAAACATTTGGAAGATAAAGGGTCCCAGGAAACTGGCCAGAAAGGAGGAGGTATGTGTTGGGCAGCTTGTCCGAGGCCCACGTGTAGTGCCAGCCTGAGCCCTCTCTAAGAGCCCTACGAAGCTGGGACTGAGGAGAAGGTGTCCCCTGTGAAGGAGCAGGGGAGAGACTTGGTATCGCTGATGCTGCCATGTCCATCCCGAGTGTCCCCATGGTGTGTGATGGCACAGAGAGGCCAGATGTCCCTGGCAGATGAAAAGTCAGCCTCGCCAGTCTGAGCACTGCTTTCCTGGGGCTGCTCGGGCCTGGAGCTATCCTAGCAGGCTGGGGTTCCCCTTGCACAGACACACAGGGGCAGCTTTCTCAGGCCCCTCGTTCTTTCTCTTCTCTTTATTTGGTCTTACCCTGGGGACACTGGGAAGGGGATGTAAAGGATGCTGCTAGAGATCCACGAGCTGCCCTGTGTGTTTTACCCAAGAAGATAGAGAAGCCTAATGAACTAAAGGCAGTGTTGAAAAATATCTTGAAGAGTAAAATGCCTTTTTGAAAGGAGATTGTTTGTCTAGGGATCGCATCGTATTGAAAGCATGGAGACTTTATTCCTCCAGCAGGAAGAATTGACCAATTAACCCATGGGAATTTGTCAGTCCACAGGTGTGGGCTTTCCAAAGATCAAGGGGACAGAAGGGCCTCCCAGAGACTGAGACCAAATGGACGAGGGTGAGAAATCTTATCAGAGCCCTTTGGGAGTGCTGAGAGCCATGGATATACTTTGCAGGCCACATGGTGACTGTGTCTATTAAATGTAAACTAGTAGCTTACCCTGGGAAGGGGGCAGGGTGCCACATGTAGGAGGTGGGGCAGAATGGAGCCCACTCCAGACATCTAGCTCCAGGCTTCTGCCCCACACTGGAGCCCAGCAGCTTCCATGAAGCCCAGGGCCCTGAAGACAATAGGGTGAGCCCTGGGAATTGAGGCCTGGACAATAGGCAGATTTTCAGATTGTAGCTGGGACAGGATAGGGAAGGCAATGTTTGTCCCCATCCCTTATGCTTTAGGATCTTTTTGTCTATGTGTATGTTTGATGGGGAGCTGTGGGGAGAATACAAGTAGAGTGATCATTGGATGTATAGTCTGTGTGATAAGGTTCCTGTCATCATGCCTGGACCTGGGTGACACTCAATACATGTAAGACTGTGTACAGAACTCTTGTGAAGTGTGTTCTTTGAGACAGTCGGTCATACACACTTGTACACTCTGATGGAGAAAAAAATGGCACATCTCCACACACTTTTTTTAATTTTTAATTTTTTAACTATATTTTATTGATTATGCTATTACAGTTGTCTCATTTTTTTTCCTGCCCTTTATCTGCCTCTGCCCAGTACCCCCATTTTCTCCAGCATTACCCTCCTTAGTTCATGTTCATATATATACATGAACTATATATAAGTTCATGTTGTATATATAAGTTCTTTGGCTTCTCCACTTCCTGTACTATTCTAACCCTCCCCCTGTCTATTTTGTACCTACCATTTATGCTGCATATTCCCTGTACCATTTTCCCCATTCTTCCCCCTCTCTCTCCCTGCTGATAACCCTCCATTGATCTCCATTTCTGTGATTCTGTTTCTTTTCTTAATCTGTTTTTGTTTTTGTTTTTTCAGTTCAGTTGTTGAGTTTGTTGTTATTTTACTGTTCATAGTTTTGATCATCTTTTTCTTAGATAAGTCCCTTTAACATTTCATATAATAAGGGCTTGGTGATGATGAACTACTTTAACTTGACCTTATCTGGGAAGCACTGTGTCTGCCCTTCCATTCTAAATGAGAGCTTTGCTGGGTAGAGTGATCTTGGATGTAGGTCCTTGCCTTTCATGACTTTGAATACTTCTTGTAAGCCCCTTCTTGCCTGCAAGGTTCCTTTTTAGAAATAAGCTGATAGCCTTATGGGGACTCCTTTGGAGGTAACTATCTCCTTTTGTCCTGCTGCTTTTAAGATTCTATCCTTATCTTTAATCTTGGATAATGTAATTATGATGTGCCTTAGTGTGTGCTTCCTTGGGTCCAATTTCTTTGGTACTCTGAGCTTCCTGGACTTTCTGGAAGTCTATTACCTTTTGCCAAATTGGGAAAGTTCTCCTTCATTATTTTTTCAAATATGTTTTCAATTTTTTGTTCTCCCTTTTCTTCTGGCACCCCTATATTTTGGATATTGGAATGTTTAAAGTTGTCCCAGAGGTTCCTAAGCCTCTCCTCATTTTTTTTTTAGTTCTTGTGTTTTCATTCTGATTGGGTTGAATGTTTATCTTTCCTTGTGCTCCAAATCATTGATTTGAGTCCCGGTTTCCTTCCCTTTACTGTTGATTCCCTGTATGTTTTTCATTATTTCACTTTGCATAGCCTTCACTTTTTCCTCCATTTTGCAACCATACTCAACCATTTCTATGAGCATTCTGATTACCAGTGTTTTGAATGTGCATCTGATATGTTGGCTATCTCTTCATGGCTTAGTTCTATTTTTGGGGCTTTGATCTGTTCTTTGATTTGGGCCATATGTCTTTGTCTCAATGTGCCTGTTACGTTGGGAGGGGCAGAGCCTTAGGTATTGACCAGGATGGGGCAACCCAGGTCGCTGTGTGTTGTGATGCTATATGTGGGGGAAAGGTCAGAGGTAACAATGCCACTTGCTTGGCTCTTGGCTGGTTTTCAATCACTTCCCCCTGTTCACCATACCAATCCCCCACTTATCACAAGCAATTGGACCCTTCTGGTGCTGATTCCCAGGTGGATGGGTTTATGTACATTCTAGGACCCTGTGGGTCTCTCCAAAGAACTCTCCTGTGAAGCTGGGAGTTTCTCCCACTGCTCCATTCCCCACAGATTTTTATAGCCAGAGGTTTTGAATCTTTCTTTTCCTGTACTGGAACCCTGGATTGTGCAGTTTGTCTTGCTCCCCAGCTATTCCTTCTGGTTTATCCTCACAAAAATGTCGGACCACCCAGCCCTCCAGCTGCCATCTTGCCTGCTGGGTCCTCCAGCTGTCGCCTTGCTATGTGTCCTCTCTACTCTGGTTGCCTGTCTTTGCCCCTCCTGCTGGTCTGGATAAATGTTTCTTCTTTAATTACTTGGTTGTCGGACTTCCATACAGTTCAATTTTCTGGCATTTCTGTTTGTTTTTTATTTTTGAATTTGTTGTTGTCCTTCTTTTGGTTGTACAGGAAGCAAAGCATATCTACCTACGCCTCCATCTTGGCTAGAAGTGCACAACTTCTTTATTAAAGTACACATAGAGCATGTATGTATATACACACATCACTCCTATACTATGTTCATATACAACCCCTGTGTGTATGGCCCTCTCTTCCCACACCAAACTCTGGAGATTGTACATATATCTATAATTCTATCTAAATCTAGATAAAAATATATATTATATCCTCCACTATCATACAAACACAGCTACCCCCAACTATCTCTGCATATCTCTATAAGAACCAGTCATGTGTCATACACACCAACCATTCAACACATGGTGCAGTAATACCAAACCCACTTTGTATAAACCACCAAAAAACAAGATTAGCCAATACAAGTTTGCTGGATAAAATACAGAATATCCAGTTAAATTTGAATTTCTGAAAATCCACAAATAATTTTTTAGTATAAGCATGCCCCAAATATTATAACCCAAATATTGCATGGGAATATTTACACTAAAAGTTATTCATGGTTTATGTGAAATTCAAATTTAACTGGTGTCCTGTATTTTTGTTTGTTAAATCTGACAACCCTTATATGTTTACTACCAGCTGACACATTATATACTTCCTGTATTTCTGTTTAGTGTTTCTCTTCCCTTACTAGAATGCTAGTATTTTTAGAGCCTTGCATAGTGGAATAGTGCTTAATACATAGTAATTGTTCACTGAATATTGTAAATGAATGAATGGAGGAGTGAATATAAACCATAAATATAAACCATACTATATAATCAGGTCAGACACTCCTGAGTTGTGATCAAAAACCATGCACACAAACTTTCCATAAACATAGATACAGACATTTCCACCCTGTTCACCATATCAATTCCCCACTTATCAAATACTTAGCTGATATATATCACCCTCACACTTCTGACATATTAACAGTGACCAGTCATGCTTGCATTCATAACAAGACACTAATAAAGTAATTATTGATTATAACTAAATACTGAAGCATCCACTGAGAACTGGAATCTGAGCCTTGTGTCTTCACTGTCCTTGAAAGAAGCCAGCCTCTCAGTAAACATTCCTTGGATGAATGAATGATTCACAAACATGCCCAGCAGCCCACATCCCTGAGGCTTTCATCCCTTTCTTAGGAATCTTGAGGTCACAAGAGGATGTCCATCAGCTTGGATCGACCAAGGTGGCCAAAGGCTGTAGCGCAGGGGCAGAGGAGGTCTCCTCTGCCTCCGAATACTTCTCCTGTGTTTCTTCTCCAAGCAAGCTCATCCATGGTGGTACAGGTGTGGGGCTCCTTGGATGCATGGCAGGTGGCACATAGATCCCAGTGTGAGCCTCAGTGGAAACTCAGGGCAACAGGAGGAGTCTGGGGAGGATGGCAGAGCTGTCAGGAGAGTTGGGACATGAGCTCACTGTGGGGGTGAGCCCTGGTGCAAGCATGGTGGGGAATTTAGGGAGCAGGGGCCAGAGAGATCTGAGCTTGAGATATAGGGCTGAGAGACCAGATTAAGCACCTTCAGAGGAATGTGTAAATTTTACCTTTACCTCTGCTTCCAGAGAAGGACAGACTTTTATAGCATAAGCCTTCAGCAAGGGAGTAGGACTATCAGCCCAGGCCCACACACCTCATACATTCAACCACACTCCATGCATAGCCCTTCTTAGTACACACACAAAACCCAAACACATGCCCCACAATGCCATTCTCCTATGCCATGGCCCACATTCCACAAATAACACAGCGGTGATATCAGAAACTCACATCTCTCTCATAGCTCTCATCCCACCAACATCCCACATGCCACAGCCCTCACCACAATACACAGACATCCTCCCAGGGTGCCTACACGCACAAATGAGAAGCCCACAGATAACACCAGATACACTACTCCATAGTATGAACAAAAAATAGCAAGCTCAGCACACAACTACATCATAGCATAGCCTCTCTCTCCTATAGCCCACAGATTCATACCTATCCCCTCAGCTTCCTGCATGCCCCATGCACATTCTTATGTTTCTAATTTCCTTTCCCAGGAATCCGGAAGTCACTTCAATACAGTCCCCAGAGTAGATCAACCCTCTCCCCTGTTCAAGAACAAGGGGAGATCACTCCCCTCTCACCACATGTCTCTTTATCACCCCCTTCATCTGATAAGACCTGTGTGACTTCTCAGTATATAAACAAAGAGGAAAAGGGCATGAAAGTATACTACATGCAGGTACAAGTGAAAAAGGGTGTGGCTCTCTCCTGGGAGACAGAGGAAGCCCCAAAGTCACTAAAAAAGAAGCCGAGGATGGAAGAAGTGAACCTTCCTGAGAACGTGCGGGTAGGTACACCCCCCTCTGACGTATCCACCAGAAACCTCCTATGTGACAGTGAGACCAGTGAAGAGGCAAAAGAGCATGAGGAAAGAGGAGAGGCAAAGAGCCCACCAGGATTGCCCACAGTTGAGGAGACACCCAGGGCCAAGACACCTGACTGGCTGGTGACTATGGAGACTGGCTTCAGGTGCATGGCCTGCTGCAGGGTCTTCCCCACGTTGGAGACCCTCAAAGAGCATGTGCAGTTAGGGATTAGGGAGGGCTTCAGCTGCCGCGTCTTTCATCTCGCCATGGCTCAGCTGAGGAGCAATGTGGAATCAGAGAAGATCCAGGAGAAGGAGGAGGAGGAGGAGGAGGAGGAGAAGGAGGATAACGATGAGGAGAAAGAGAAGCAAGAAGAAAAAAAAAATGAGGGGGAGCCGCCCACAGGGTAAGACCTTCGCAAGAGGAGGTCCTGGAGCTGATCAATGTCCAGGCTGTGTGTTTCATTGTCCAAAGGACAGGAAGTGAGCGGGGGCTGCGGTTGCTCAGGGTGCTGTGCCTTCTCCCAGCCAGTACTGTCTCTCCAGGCCTGGCCCAGGCCTCCATACGGGAGAGTTGGGAGCTGTGCCAGATCAGGAAACAATGGAAGGTTGGGGTGGGGGATGGGAAACTGGGCCCCTTATTTCTTGCCCAGGCATTTAATAAAGTCATAACTGTAAGTGAGAATTTATCCTGAGCTTTTCAGCTCCTGCAGGAAGTTCTGACAATTTCCAACAGCTAACAGAGCACCTTTCTTCTAAAACTGAGACATGTCTTCCTCTGTTTTGGTTTCCACACAGCAACTGAGGTTCTGGGCCAGAAGACCCTGGAAGACTTACCTTGCGAGAGGTAAGGCCTGAGGCTGGCACAGTCTTCTGAGCCTACATCATGAGGCCCAGGGGAATCTCAGGGAAGGGGCTGCTGGGCTGCACCGGGTTACCTGGTGCCTCTGGAGCTGCACTGACTTAAGGCAGATCCGACACTTCCCAGGAACTGATCTTCATTAATTTATTGAGAAAGTGGAGAATTTTGACAGTTCTCCCAGAGTCTCCATGATTAACCTCCAAGGACAAGAGTGATCTGAAGACAGGATAGGGAACTTAGCAGTACCAGAGGTTTAGGGCTGGGAGCCTTTGGCCTGAGCTGGATCTCACTATGGCTCATGGACATAGTCCCTTGAGAGAAAGTGGAACTTGTAAAGGAGATACATGAAAATGAGGTTGGTCATAAGAGATCTGGAAATGTTCTAGAACCTTTAGTTTGCTGTAGGTGATCTGAAAACAAATTCATGAGGGTATGCACGGCCTCTGAACTTTAAGACAAAGTGAAGGGTAACTGTGACTGGTAGGGCTCATATCGCTTCTTGTCTTTTCCTCCTCTTTCTGTTTTATTTTCTCACTTCCAGGGAGAAGAGAGGACCATGGAGATAGTAGCAGACAGAATGCCAGTGGTATGAAGGAAGATGAAGGGACCAATACTCAGGCTAACATATAAACATTATATGCAATAAAAGCTGTTTTCCAAAACTTTCCTGGACATATTCATTTTTTTAGATTAATTTTTTTTATGTTTTAAATTTTTATTTTTAATTAAAGTTTATGTTTAATGTTATTTTGTATTAGTTTCAGGTATAGAGCATAGTAGTTAGACAATCACATATAAACTTTACAAAATGTTCCCCCTGATATTTCTAGTATCCACCTGGCACTATACCTAGTGGATACATTTTTATATTAAGCTATCTTATCTTATCTTCTTATCTTATCTGTTTATCTATCCATCATCTACGTTTGTTTCTCCAGTGGTTTGCGAAAGAGGCTTCCCATAAGTACAGAAGATACCCACCATCCTGTTCCAGAAGCAGCAGTATCCAGTCTCCTGGGGTTGATTAGGTTTCTGTGTGACTATTTTGCAAGACTGGCTACCACAAGCTACACTGAGCTCAGATGGAGTGTTTGGAAAGCAGCAGGTGCTGTGGAAACCCAGGTCTAATGGGTTCTGATTGAAAGCACTAAGAAGGGAAACTTCAGAGGCCTGGAGGGTTGTCTGCATGTCTCTGAGGGCAAAGGAGAAATTTCTCAGCCTTGAAGCTGTCCATGGAACAGGCTATTCCTGAGATGGTGACACTTTGTTACAGCCCTCAAAAAGAGGTCATCTGACCATAATCGGGAACTGGGGGGAGAGATTGCTATATTGAGTGAGAGCCAGTGAGCTGTGATATTTCCAGTTCTGACATTAATATTTTAACTTCTAAATTAATTCTTATTCTAGTCTCTCAATATTTTGGCCCTGTTATGTCTGAACTTCATCCTCATACCACTTCTACCACCCACTGGAACTAAAGGCATCTAGGTGGTATTGAGGATGCATGAGGTTGTCCATTGTCTTAAAGGTGAGGGGAAAGCAATGTGTCTTCCTCACATGAATAGGGGGTCAAAGCTGGGCTTTAGAAGAACTGAAGGAATTAGAAGGAAATAATTTGAAGTTGAGAGGTTTTGTCAATTCAAGCAGAATAAGGTGTAATTCAAAAATCCCATGGATTTTTTTTTCCCCCCAGGATGTATAAGGAGTCTTCCACAGGGCTTTATGGAATCAACAATGGTTCCAGAGATCTGTTGTCATTATTATTTTGGCAATAATAATAAGCCAGGTTCCTAACTGGTTTCATGCTCCCCAGCCTCTCCGTCAGGGATATCATCTGTATATGCACATCTCTTTTTTTTTTAAAAAATATTTTATTAGCTTCAGAGAGAGGGGAAGAGAGGGAGAAAGACAGGGAGAGAAACTTTGCTCAACTGCCTCTTGCACGCTCTCAACTGGGGACCTAGCCTGTGACCCAGCATATGCCCTGACTGGGAATCAAATCAGTGACCTTTTGCTTTGTGGGTTGATGCCCAACCCATTAAGCCAAGATGGTCAGGGCTATACGCACATCTCTTGCTTCAAGATGCCCAGTGCCTCCTTTAACTGTCTTTCCAAAGAGTTTAGAATTTGCAGCTTATTCTATCTACCCTTTCATACTCATTCTCACCACCTCTGTATGCTCTGTAATGTTCACCTTTGTTCCTTTTCTTCTGCTGTTGAGTCTACCAGGAACTATCTCTTTTCCTAGGTCTATATCATTTCCTTTCCTTTCCTTGGAATGTTTGACCTCTCTCTTCCACTGACTGCTTCAAACACCTACGGTTTATTCCATGTAAACTGGCAGAATATTGGTTATAAGATGAGGGTTCTCACTGCTGTTTCTGCTGATATGGAGACTTCCCTGTAAAGCATGGAGGGGTGCAACATGAAGGCCTGTAGCTAGGATTCAAGGTGTTGCAGCAAGCTCATATTATCTCCCAAGAACTGCACTGACCATGAGGTGGAGAACTGAGGCCTGCTGCTTGAATGCTTTTCTACGATGACTGCATGCATCTGTCACACCAGATTCTCTCGAGGGGGGCCACTGACAAAACAAATTTTGAATAAGGCTTTGAACCTCTGCTCAGAATAAGGAATTACAGAGCAGTTTGAAGGATTCTAGTAAAGTTGATGTAACTGAACTCCCTTCCCTGAAATCAGCTTAAATGAACTAGAACAGAATCTTATTGGGGATTTCTCACAAAACAGGACAGGCCACAGTCCTTCCCACCCAGGCTATCTGGGAGGTGCAGCCAGGTGTGGCCCCCCTGACTTACACTCACTCACTCTCTGAGTTTCCCAAGTGTCTGAGTTTGTGAGTGATGGTTGCAGTCAGTGGTCAAGTGCAGGCTTGATGGTCTCGAGATGCTGCTTCTGATCCTGGGCATAGCGTCCTAAAGCACATTTCCCTTGTCCCTGGTCACACTGATCACTCTTCCTCAATACTTCCCTTCTTCTCTTTCTCACCTCCCAGTGCAGGGAACAAATTTATTATTTGCTCACAGAAATCTCTACTGTTCTACTCTACTGGCTTGCTTTTAAGAGTCCAAAGCCAAGAATTTTTCTTTTTTCTCCCTTAGTTGTGCTTAGTTTCTACCTGCCTAATGCAATGAATTCAGAGTACTAAGCTGACAAGATGGGGGGAAAAAGAAATAATAAAAAGTATTAGAGTTAATTTTTCACAGTATTATCCAGTTATATATATTTAAAATTTATGAGTAATATAGAAATATTATCTTCATAAGCACCTGATATTAAAGTAAAGTCCCTTTTCATAATACTCGAATCTCCCTCCCAAGCCTATTTACTTTTGCAGAGATTTTTATTATTAACTGTATGATTTCAAGACCTTTGGTCCATGCATTTACATACAAAAGTGTTTTATATATGATATCTAGCTTTATTGAGATTTTTGATTCATGAATTATATCATCTCTATTCTAAAATCAATATTTTTTACTTCCAGTTAAGATGGTGGAGTAGGTAGAAATAACTCACCTCTTTTCACAGCCACATCAAAATTATAACTATAATATAGAACAACTATCGCTCAGAACTGTCAGAAATTGAGTTGAATAGAAGTCTGACAACTATGGGTTTAAAGAAACCACATCCATCCAGACTGATCCGGCAAGCGGGTGCCATATCTGAAATTCCATCAACCTGGCCAACATTGTTTGACCCATCTTGGAGATCCCCAGAGACTCTACCCCACCCAACTTATGGACCCACCCAAGCTGCTTTTCCATAAGAATGGCTGGTTTTGGCTCACACTTCACAACTTCCTAAATCCTATCAAAGAAGCAACAGCTAGCATCAGTGAGCCCCAGGCCCAACATTAGCAGCAGTCAGTCTAGTTTCACAGTTTGGCTTCACCTGGGAATCTCTAAGCCCAGCACAAGTCACAACCATCTTGGATTGCTTTATAGCTCAGAAAGGGTGGCCTGGGCAAAACACAGTGGGGGGCTGACCTTGGCCAGCTTCCAGGAAACACCAGGACCAGCATATCCAGTGGACATCTACAGACTACACTGGAGCACCACCACCCTGCCCCTGTACAGCTGATCCTTCACAGAGAGCAGAGATTTGTGGTAAGTGGTCACTGCTGATCTTTGAAGCTGACTGGCCAGAGTAAACCTCTCCCCGTGACCTGCCAACAGCAACCAAGGATCAACTACAAGAGGAGGGTGTACTCAGCCCACACCAAGGGCACACCTCGAGTACCCAGCTTGGATGATAGTGGGGGCAGTGACACTGGACCCTGCAGGACACCTACTACATTTGGCCACACTACCAAGAGTCAAAGCAGCTCTACCTAATACATTGAAAGAAACACAGAGAGGCTGCCAAAATGAGGAGACATGGCCCAAATGAAAGAATAGATCAAAACTCCAGAAAAAGAGCTAAATGAAATGGAAATAAGCAATCTACCAGATGTAGAGTTCAAAACATTGTTTAAAAGGATGCTCAAGGAACTTAGGAAAGGCCTCAACAACATAAAAAAGATCCA